CCCTCCCTCCCGCTCAGCTTTGACAGCCAGGTGAGGCTGGTTTTGTCCTCAGGTCAGCAAGTGGGTATTTAGCCCAGACTGGACTCACCAGAGCCCTGTACACTCACCAGAGCCCAGAGGACTGGTTCAGAGATAGGGTCCTAACCCAAAGTCGGTCCTCTCCATCCTGGGGGGTTTCTTAGAATTACCAGGAGAGAGAAGCTTCCTTCCTTCCTCTTCCCTCCCTCCCACTCTCCCTGTTTCTCTTATTTTCTTTTTTCTTTTCTCTCCCCCCACAGCCTCTCCTCTTTTAGGGCTGCTAAGCTTGACAAAATGTATGTGGGGTGGCAGCCACTCGACCACCTTGTGGAAAAGACCCGCCTGAGCCTGCAGCCGGCAGAGAGAAGCTGGTCTGAGACGCAGCGTCTCCGGTCTGATGGCCGAGTCTCTGGGGGCAGCCTTTACTACAACCAGAAACCTCTGTCTTCATAACCAGAGCAAAACAGTCTCCCCTCTTTTTCTTAAGCTTGAGTTGGGTTTTTGTCATTAAAAAAGAATCTGGGTAATAATAGATTAATTGACTCAAATAAATGAACCTTTCACATCCTCTAAATGGGATGCTTGTTCTAGGAGACGGACATGTTCAAATCTTACATGCAAAGCAGTTCAGGTAACGTGTGTACTACCCTGTAAGTTTCCTGGGCTCCAGGTACCAAGTTTAGATAGCACCTCATTTCAAGGATATTCTTGCTTAGGATGGAACAGAATCAAGTTTAAGAAAATATTGATCAGATTTAAAGTAAATTCTTTTTCATATTTACATATAGTACAGGTGAGACAAAGACTTGGAGGGGATGCTGGGAGGTCAGCAATACAGGGCACTGGAGTAGTCAACACGGAGGACTTCAGATCCACTGCTAGCAGCACTGCCCCCGATTCCACTCCCGATTCATCAGTAGAGCTGGGCCTACACACACCAGCTTTCATCCTGCAAATATTTATGGAATCTATACTTGTGCTCAGTACCAGGGACAGATTTGAGCAATATAAACTCAGACACTTGGAGGTCCTAAGAAAAACAAAATAAAAGTTATTTGATAAAATAAAAGAGGGGTTGGCTACTTCCTTGTTATTAACCCTCTTACAAAATGATCACGTAATTCAATTTCCTTAGAGCCCCTCCAAACTGGACTGATCAGAAATATCAATACACATGTAATATGAACACAGGTCTTTACAAAGAGCAAAACACTAAAATGTGCTGATTTTTGTGTACTTGAAAAAATATATATTATTTCTTTTACCATACTAACATTATTAAACTATCAAAAATCAAAACACATTAAAAAAGACAGTACTGGTATTTTTCATTCATTGCAAAACAATTAAAAAGGACATGGCAAATATGGAGCTGTAACGTGACTTTTCAACTTGTATCCATGTGAAATTTATGAGAACTGATTAGAAACAAACAAGAGTCTGGTCTGCTACGTATTTGTTTGTTGATAGGAAAACTTAATGCTGGCAGCTGAACCTCATTAGATGGGAGTTTATGCCTGCCCATTTCCTGTAGCTTTATGCAGACTGAAGTCCCAGTTGAACCTGTTAGATATGTGCGACACTTACCTGGGCTTCTGGTTTGTATATAACTATTATTCTTTCATTGACTAATCTCCTAACAGAAATGGTAGCTGATAAAGTTGAGTGGAACTGGAATAATCCTGGGACCATATAACCCATATATAACCCCAACTTTCTAATTTTGGACATATGCCTTAATAAAAGAAAAATTATTTAAGAAATAATATTGACTAAAATGAGAACTACACAGATCTTAGAGCTTACAAAACATAGAATTTTATTTAAATTTGTGTACAAATAAAGATTTAGCAAAATATCATCCTAAACCTAATTCATTCCCCTCCCCACAAATGAACATTATGGAAAAACCCACTCCCTTAATTACATTTCCCAAGCTGGTAGATTATGGGGACCAGGAAGGGTGGGGGTGGGGGGGAAATGATACACTCACAATAAAATTACAGTGATGTCTCCTCTTGGAATGTCTTAATTACATCTTGGAATGTGTTTAATTACAGACATTTCCACAAGAATCAGCTCTCTCCAGTTTTCACATTAAATGAAATCTTCTAAAAAATCACAAAAAAGGCTTGTGGAATTATTTTTTCAGTGAGGTAAGGAGTATATTCAATATTAAGGCAGATGGTAGAATCCATGGATGGACTATCACACAGGAGTGTGGACCCTCCATTGTAAAATATACTTTGGAATGTTCATGGATTTTCCATACAAGGGCTGGAATCAGAAACTTGGAAAAACTGATAGTGTGTAACTGCTATTTGTCTGACTGTCTTAGCGGCGCCTTTTTGAGAGTTAATCTGTTAAATGTAGTTTTAAGGCCTGTGAGTTTTTTATTATACAGGATTAAATGTCCACCAAAGCTGCGGGCAGTGAATGGGGATCTCTTTGGCCACACAGGCTGCTCCCCAAAGCCAGCAACACCATGTCTACTGAGCAGGCTCACGGTGACAGAAAGGTGCGAGAACACAGGGCGCTAATTTAGTGAAGACATAAGTGAAATCAGGTTATTCAGGCTGTACAGACATCTGGTTCAAGAAGATGGGGAATTAAGATTTTTCATACAATGATTCTTGTTTCTCCCCTTCCCATGTTTTACCCCAGTGAGATAACCATTTCTTTCACAGTGAAGAGAGAACCACCCCTTTCACAGCAAATGGACCTCTTCCTCCAGGGACCAGGACGAAGGATCACTTCTTTGCCACGCTGGCCACGGCCTTCTTGGCTGCATCCTCCAGGTCGACGGCCGAGGTAATGGGGAGCCCGCTGTTGTTGAGTATGTTCTGGGCCTCGCGGGCATTGGTTCCTGGAAGAGGGCACCGTGGACAGTCAGTGAAATGAAATGGGAGGTGGAGCCCCAAGAGGCAAAGCCTACAAGGACGGGATGCCTGTCTCACCAACAGCAGTCAACTACGACTCAGCTTCAGCTCCTTATGGGGCAGGAATGGCTACTTAAATAAATCCAGATGACACTTTTTTTTCTCTTTTCATCTAAATGTCTGGCATTAGAAAGATACTGTCTATATTTTCTCTGGCATTTAAAAAATGAAAATAATGAGGTTCTTATAAGATTGTGAAAAAAGAAAGATTAGCAGCCACTTGTTCAAGGAGTTTGAAAAGGAAAATCTTCTGAAATGGATTTATACCTTGATTGAAAGTCTGAATACGGAATCTAAAGAAAAAGTTTTGTGTAAATATGAGCAAGACGATAAAAACCCAGGGTATCGGACGGCCCGGGATACTGGCTGTCAGAGCCACACGCGAAGTGCAGGGGACCAACCGATGGTTCCAACCCGCGCACCAGGAAGAGGGTGAAACACAGGTCTAAACAACGTCCTGACTGGGAGGATCACGGGATGGGATCTCTACCAAGCAGCGGTCCAGCTAGACAAGAACCTGAAAGCCAGGACGTCAGAGAGACTGACAGACGCTTTGACTGATAAAAGCTGAGATTACTGATCATCCAGTCAAGCAAGTTGAATGTGGTTTGGGCCACGCCAGACGTCCTGCAACGCAGGGTCTGAGTCGTGGCCTAATCTGAGATAGGAAGCTGGAGCCCACGGCTCTGGAGGAATGACAGTCCGTTTCTGTTTCTGCCTCCTCCTATATAACACAAGGGCAAAGGCCCTGCTGACAGCGCTGCAGCCTCTGATGGCACCTCCCGGCCATTCCTGGTGGATGTGCAGCATCTGCTGGCCAAGTCACCCACCCGAAGGTTTGCTGGGACTACTTCACATGCGAAATGCTTTTCTGTCCTTTCAGAGTGAACAAGCCCCTAGGAGAAATGTGATAAAATTTAAGAATCTAATGAAATATCTCATCTTACATCATTTCCTGTGCTTTTATCTAGTTAGCAAGACAGAGCCTATTTATAAACAAAGGCCTTGAAACCCAGGCTGCAGAGCACCTGAGAATGCGAGGAGAAAGGGGGTGCGGGGTCAGCAGGCTTCACAACAGGTAAAGGCGAGTCCGAGAGGGACAGAGAGGTGAAAAGGCGACGTCGTACTGATTGTCTGGGCCTGGGCCCACGGAAGCAGGGGGAGCGCACACTGGGCCCTGGGTCTTTGGCTCAGTGCTCACTGGCCGCTGCTCGACGCAGGAGTCTGACTGGTCGCTCTCTGTGGAGCCACAGCTCAAGGGGCAGCGCAGTCGTTAGCGGAAGCCCGGGCCTCATCCTGCCTCTGCCGTGCATTGGCTGTGTAGTTGGGTAAATCGTTCCACTGCTTTGAGCTCCGACTTCTTTATCTCCAGACATAACGTTACGACCGTCTTCCACATCACTAATGTTCACCAAGCACTTACATATGGCAGATAGAACAGTCAGAGGAGTCTTTCCAATGACTCGTTACAAGATACCTGAGGCACAGCGAGGTTAGAGAACGTTCCCATAGTCACGCAGGCTGTGGTGGCAGAGATGGGGCGTGAGCCTCATTCGCTAATCACACAATTCTAACTGTTAGAGAGCTATGCTGGCTGTTTCCCTGTAAACCGAGGACGAGAGTGCTGAGAGCAGAGGCTCTGACAAGAAGCAAAGCAAGTAACACCGTGAGAGCATTTTGTAAATGGCGAAGTGTCTTTGGGGACCAGGCCAGGGTCCAGCAGATTTGTGCTCCTCTTCCAGGGTAGGGCTGGGCCTGGGACGTAGCTGCCCAACCAGGGTGTGGTGCCAAGGCCCCCTTGCATGGTCATGTGACCGAGTTCTGGCCACTGGAGGGCAAAGGGATACAAAACACATGCCCACAAAGTCTCCAATGTGGCCCTCGGCACCGTCCTCCCTGCCTGCCTCTGGAACCGCAGCCGGACAACCCAGAGGCACCTTTCTGAAGAGGCGATGACTCCCTCAGCACGGACACTCGGTTCCCTTCTTGGACATCATGCGCATCAAAAAGTCTCTGACATTTCAGCATCTCGTTACAGAAGCTAGCATTACTGTAATGAAGTTTCACTTTGGAAATGTGGCAGGCAGCTTCCAAAAGGACCATGCCTACCTCCTGGTGTTCACGCCCCTGGGCAGCAGAGGGCTGGATCCAGCCACCTGCTTCTAAGGACTAAGGAGGTAGCAAAAGCGATGGATGCCACTCTGGTGATCAAGTTACAAAAAGCCCATGGTTCTGTTNCATGATTCTGTCTGCTCCCTCTGACTCCAGCACTGCTCACTGAGGAGGCAAACTGCCAGCTGCCCTGCAGGACATCCGAGGCAAGGAACTGAGGGCAGACTCTGCCAGCAGCCAAGGAAGAACTGTGGCCTTCGGTTCCCCAGCAGCCACATGAGTGCACCTGTTAGCCTTGATATGATCTTGCCGTGAGTGACCCTGTGCCTCAGGGCCCGGCCACGCCACACCTGATTCCCCACCACAGAAACTGAGCTCATCAATGTTTCCGGTGCTGAGTTGCTAAATTTTGGGGCAACTTGTTAATTAATGCACATGTAAAGATCTATCATTTCATTAATACAACCTCAGTGTGCATTCCGGTTCATTTGGTCGTTTCAGCCAAAGTCGCAGGGGTTGGAAAGTAGGGCAGAGGATAGGCAGGCAGGCGCTGGAACCAGGGGAGGAATCCCCCCAGTGACCCGTAGGCGGGGCTTCCGCTGGGCAGTGGCACAGCGGGAAGCAAGAGCCCGACCCCCACAGAACCAGCCAGTCTTTGGACCAGAAGGTGGGAAGTAAACAGGTACNGGAAAGTAGGGCAGAGGATAGGCAGGCAGGCGCTGGAACCAGGGGAGGAATCCCCCCAGTGACCCGTAGGCGGGGCTTCCGCTGGGCAGTGGCACAGCCGCAAGCAAGAGCCCGACCCCCACAGAACCCGGCCAGTCTTTGGACCAGAAGGTGGGAAGTAAATAGGTAAATTTTTACCTCCTTCAACACAGACATGGACTAGAATTCTTTCCCCAACTGTCCTCCAGTCTGCCAGGGAAGAATCAAAGGTAAGATACAAAAGGCTCTCCTCCTCCTTCCTTTTTCTTCAGAGCACCCTCCAATCGCAACACGCGGCTCCCAAGGCCTCCAGGGTCACCCGAGGAGGTGGAGCCGTCTGCCTGCCTCTCCTCGGCCCCTCGCAGGGTGAGCCTGCCATGCCCGGGCTGCACCGGGCCTCCGAGCTCTGTGTGGGGAACCAGATGGTGCAGGAACAGAGGAGCTAGTGGTGGCAAAAATCAGTGGAAGCAGCAAGAGCAGCGTCATTTAGCAGGAGTCTCGGTTGTTCCAGGGCTCTAAGTGCATCAGCTCACTTGTTCCTCAGCCAGGACCCCGAGGCGGCTGCTCCTCTTTCTCTCACAGGCGCGAGGACGGAGGCGCGATGACCTTAGAGGCCACTGCCTGGTAGCTGCTGGGAGGCAATGGCACAGGCATCCCACACGCCCTCACCGGTTCAATGGTTTCTGGAGCCAATACCTGAAATACCTATGCTGAACCTTGACTGACTCCTTATGATTTTGTGAGTATATGTCATAATAATAATGTTGGCAATAAAATAGTCTCTACGTTTTGGTGGTTTACAAAGTCCTCCCATATTACTTCATCTGACCTCATGACGATCCTGAGCTAGGAGTTGATAAATCAGTCCCTTTCTTAGCCAGGAGCACTGAGGCTCTGCGACCGGCAGGATCCAGGGGCAGCATTCTTTGCTCCTCCTGCTCTATTTTCACTTCCTGGGGACTCCTGCCTGGAGTTTCAAATGGGCAGCACTCGTCCATGCATGAGATCGCCTGAATCTCAATGGCGCTGTCGGTCAGCAGCAAAGATCACACACCATCAGGCTGTGTGCTCTCTCCAACCTCCCGTCTGGCTAACCCTGCTCTGCCCAGGACCCTGCTGGAGGGACCAGGGTGTCCCCTGAGGCAGAACCGATTGTTCCTAAACACTGAACGACTGCACCTGACCCACGAAGGTCCAAACGCTGACAGTGGTCGTTAGCTCGTGCAAACAGACTCGCTGTTCTCATAGTTGGAATGGGTGGCACCCACAGCAGAACACAGCAGCATGGAAGGACTCAGTCGCAAGCAAGCAGGCAGGAGGGCGGCGGGCATGGGGGCGGAGCTGTGGAGCTGGTGAACAGGAGGGATGCCCCAGCCGACCCTTCTCTCGCTCGGGGCCAGCTTCGCTATGGTCCCTGCCCGTGCAGAGAACTGCCGCTCAGCTTCACGGGAGTCCCCTTCTACATGCAGGGCTGAAGTAAACCCTTGACTCTCCCCAGAGACAAATGGGTTGCTCTTCCTTGCAACCAACTAGCCTAACTAAATCAGCTAATTAAAATCCTCTTCAGCACCCAGCTTAACCCCAGCTGTTTCCAAGGGGAAAATGCCTGGTCTGGGAATCTGTGACGTTGCAGACAGGCTGGGCCTTTGGCCTCCCAGCCGAGCTCCACTGCCCTCTCTGCCTGGCCGATGCCCATCTGTTCATGAGGTATCTCTTTAAACGGCATTTCTTTGGGGAAGCCTTCTTTTTACCACCTCCCAACCCCCAAACTAGAGCACGGGATTGTAAGTGAGCTTCCAGAGTACCTTGTGTGTTCAAATTGTAGACTATTGGGGTCGCTTACAGACATTTCTCTCATCCCACCAGACACAAACTTCACAGGCTGACGCCTGGTTAGGCTTGCTCCCCAGGATGCCTCCGGCTCAGCACAGCGCCTGTCCCACAGGAGGGACTTGTTCATGGACCCAACAACCACGGGCCAAAGGGCTCACACATGCAAAGAGTGCTGTTGGGGACGGGTGGGGGCTACTCTTTTGATTGCCTGGCCCAACATCCTCAACTAACCGGTTTTGTTGTTTGTAATAGGGCCTAAGGAAAAGCAAGGAGGGAT